GTGGCCACGGACAAAGCTAGCTAGCTTCCCAGCAAATCGTGTCTACATCAACTCGTAATTAACTCGCTCATCGTAAACCCTCGATAAGATATCAAGGAAGTTCCGGACTAGAAAGAAGACTTTACAGTGTTTGTAAGTTTGCGAAACTTTTGTTTATAAATCTTTGTTTGTAATAACTATTTGTAATAATTGTTATTGTAAATTGTACTGTTATGTATATATATTAAATCGTACGTGTTATAAATGAAAACGGTGTGTATCAATCTTATTGGCAAATATATTTAAATACCAAATCCAAAGTACAATTTAACTACTACATTTAAATTATCAGTTAACTCGGCTTCGGACTAATTCGAAATTCTAATACGTAACACACCAAACATACCCGCCCTTTCAGCCGTGGGGTTGTTATAATGTGACGGCCAATCCCACTGTTTGTTGGTAAAATAGTAGCCCAAGAGTTGGCGGTGGGTGGTGATGATTAGCTGCCTTCCTTCTAGTCTTTCACTGCTAAATTAGGTGCGGCTAGCTTAGATAGCCCTCTTGTAGCTTTGCGCGAAATTCAAAAACAAACTTCTAAAGTGCACAGTGGTTTTTTATGTTCTCAGAGAAGAAGTTTAGAGAAAAGAAACTAAGATGCTTGTTAGTTTGAATATACACTACCATTCTACATAACATAACAGATGGAAAGATAACTCTAACCAATTGATTTAGTCATACGGAGATTTGTCTGATTGCTTTTAATCACCAATTTTGGAAATACAGAACTATTTTCAATGTTTTTACATACACATATACACTGATGAAACACGCACTAGTAAAAGGTCCTTAGTGTATTACCGTAATCGGATTCCACGTTTCCATCAAGAAACACATTGTAACCTTCGCTTTCTGTCAACTTCTGTACATGAAACAGAAAAATATGAAAACCTGTAATGGCGATTGCTACAAGCATGACAAACAAACAGATTCGAAAATATTTTAGACCCACGTGAGGAATTGATTTTTAAACTAGTTAAATTTTCTTGATAAATAAACTGTTTCATCACAATATAAATACAAATATAAAGGCAAACACGTTCTTAAATTAGATATATTATCGTTGTTTTTAACTGTCTCTTCACACTATAATTTCCTTAAAGTCTTAATCAATAATTATATCTTTACACATTCATAACAACTGAGTTCAAATATTGAATCATACGAACCAATACACCAGAAAAGTAAAATAAATATTGCTTTTAATCATCAGTTGGATATCTTCACTATTAACGACATTTTCGGACGTATTCCTAATAAAATGTTATGAGATTTTTCCACCTTAAGATAATTCGGTTAGTCCTAAGTCCACACGTTAAAACAACAATGCTTATGATTTTTTTAACTTTAATAAAGTAATGAATTTTCACCACTGCTTAGAAGATCCCCGAATTATGATTATATGTAACTTTGAAAATTATACCTCAAAATCGTCCAGTAGTCTTGCTATATCGTTATGACCTTCCTGCTTAGCAAGCTGAGCAGGACAGCAACCACTGACATTCTGAAGCCGACAGGCTCGTGCTGCCCCGGCACACTGCAACAGCTGTGATGTCAACTCTCTCAAGCCATACTTGGAGGAAAAGTGAAGAAGTGTAGGAAGTTCTTCTTCACCTAGACGTAGATAGTTTAGACTTCAGAAGAAGACGAATACTATATGATAAGGTGCAAATTTACTTGTCGTAAAAATAATAAGATCCATCTTATACTACAAAAAGTATGAAGACTAGCTCTTGAAAAGTGCTATAAATAAGAGGTTTAAATAACACTTGGTGCTTTTATCAATAAAAGTGAGGAAACGCGTATTCTTTTGCTCTCGTAGTAAGACATTTACTTTCAAATACACGAAAATATTTTATCTTTTCATATTCTGAACAGAAATGCTTAGATTACTTTAACCTAATAGCAAAATAAAATAAAACTGGCATTGCCTTGAAGCCCTACACGGATGGAGTGATGGAGCGATTTTTTTCTCGGGGGGGGGGGGAGGAAGGACACTTATTCTTCATACCCGTTCCCAGCCTTTTGATATTTTGAACGGGAAATGACGTAAGCCAATTTGATGGGAAATGACGTAAACTGTATATCACATGTGGCAGTACAAAAGCAATTTGATCGTTTCCTGTAAATTAATTTATGTAACGTGTAACTCAATACTCGCAGCTACTCTTAATGTTTTATTTTTCCATAGATTGTATTGAAGCGATCTTAATTAAGTACTGTTGTGAGTCGAAACGTAAAATTCTGTATTAGCACTACCATTGGGTGGTTAAGATTTCTTGTTAGGGAAGGAGAATTAAAAGATAAATTTCCTGATATTAATAAAGAGGATCATATATTTGTTCCACGGCTCAAGTGTGGTGTAAAACAAAAAAGTTAAAAGTGATGATTCTCGAATTTCTCGAGTCTATATCTTTCTTTCCAACTTCTGTTGCCTTATTCACCTTTGGTCTATGGCTTTTCTCTTCTAGCTTATTCAAAAATGTCTCAAATTAGATATTTGGCTACGTATTAGAACTTATGTGAATTTATATATTTGGATATAAAAGGGTGAAATTGTTATTATATTAAATTACAAGAGGGAATAGCTTACTTATGAAATGTTTTTCTTAAATGTCGTCTCAACATACGTCAAGCTTAGTTGGATCCTTAAAGCTGTCATACCTTAAATATTATTGTGACTCTAAACAGATTTGATGAAATGCTTATACTTTTATCTCTTAATGTGATTGAACAGATTAAAGGGAATGTGAAAAAAAAAACGACTTGTATTACGAATATCATGGCAATTAACTTTTAATGCTTCGCCAGCTTTCGGCGTTCAACATCGTAACTTTAGTTTTAAACTACATATGTTTATAAACAGTGTTCTAGATAATATTCTGGCTATCGTAGTTCAGCCAGCTGACGAATTGTGAAAAGTCTTCTGGACAACGGCTTGTGAGAAACGACAGATAGATCTACAATGTTATTTTACATTTCTATGATTTGAAAGTCATAATGATTAATTAATGAGATCTGATTTAAAAATAAGTGTAATCTCACGTACATTAAGTCTATTACTTATCTCCGACGTTTTGTTTGATACCGTTGTTCTGTATGACTTCTTTAGAACTAAAAGCATACTGTTATTATACCTATATGTGAATAGCTTATAATAGCGTTATCCCAAAGCTTTGTCCTCCACACACTCCCCCCCCCTTAATAAACATGGTTTCTTGTGCGCCCTCTTTTTTTTTAATGAGGTAAGCGACGAGATATAACACACGGATACACATTAAAATACTATATGTGTTGCAGCAATTACTTA